AGCGCCGGCAGCTGTTCACGCCCCGGCGACCGAGCCGGTCAACGTTCACCAGACGCTCTATTTCTGCTTTCCTCTTAGACGAACCGGGGCCGCTTTCCTGTTCACTGCCCCCGAGTGACCAGGCCAGCCACAGCGACACGAGGTCTCTGCTCTCACCTCCCCACACAGAAGCATCTGCATCCGGGCACAGCCTGCTGCTCCCCCAGCAGACGTCACTGCGTCTGTCTTGCAAGGCAGGAAGTGTCCCCCAGCCGTTCTGACAACTGCTCGTGAGGAACCGCCGTCAACCTCTAGTCATCCTGCGCCGCCCGATCATGCGGCGTCCACGGCACGGTCAGGCAGCACCCCAGTGCGAACACCCCTGCAGCCACAGCCACGCAAACGAGCCAGATGCGCCCTGCCTAAAACCTCGGCAGCTCAGCAGGCGTGGCCCACGCAGACATGGCTCCCTGCGCGCCAAAACCTCAGCACCCGTGCACGCCACCGTGGCCAGGCCCTTCCTAAAGTAACGGCCCCCCGGGGGCCCCCATCTCCACCCACCCCCTCCTCAACTGCAAGTCCCCTCTCCCGCCTGACAGCGCCGTCTCCCTCCACCCGTCATACTTCCTTTTCCCGCGAGCTGTGACATGGCAGCACGATGGCCAGCAGGCCCTACGCGGGCCTTGGCGTCTCCAGGACAATCAAATCCAACAGACGGGATGGAGAACCTGAACGTGAACCTGCTGCAGAGCGCACCGTGGCCACGGAGCTCTACGCTGGCCACACCACCACCAGTACTTGTGCGGTGACTGCAATGAAGCCGCCTTTCATAGACACAGGCGAGGCTCGAAGCCCAGGGAGAGGCCCAGGACGGGAGACAGCTGTGTGCAGCAGGCATCAGAGGCCGCGCACGGGACCAGGTGCCGGAGCAGACACCATGCGAAAACCAGAGCTCAAGCACCGGCTGCCGGGGAGGTGGGCGCATCACGGTAGCCCAGCCCCTCGGGACACGGCCGCGGGTTCCCACCGCCAGCCTCGCCACGCGACAACCTACAGCCGTGTGGGACAGCGGCTCCCTGCTCTGACCAGCTCACACTCCACAGGAGAGCTCCAACAGCACGAGGGAGCCTTCCGGACGTCCCGATCTGAACAGGGGTGAGGGCAGCGTGGGACTTTCCATTTGTCAAAATCGTCCGGCTGGGATTCGTGCTCTGCCATCTACAGAAATCTCACCTTACAACCATCACGCAGGGGCAGTGGGCAGATGTGACACACGCGGAGCGGGGCGACGGCGGGTGGGGGCGCAGCGTGCCTTCCTGTTTACTTTGCACTGACTGACACCTTGCCCCATAAAACGTGAAGAGGAACACACACACACGACCAGGCTGCGTCTCAGACTAGACACAGGGGCCTGCACAGAGCTCGAGAACTGGAGCTCAAAGTCAGTTTACTGTGGTACAAACTCATTTTGAAATCCGCGCACAGCTTATTTACAGCACTCCTTTTTCGTGAACTTTCTGAAGATTCCTAGAGTATACAAGGATTTCAGACAGGGTACAGGACACGTGACCCGGAAAGAGGACAGCTGGCCTGCTCCTGTGCAGGTCCCTGACGCTGCCACGCAGCCCAGGGCCAGCCAGCAGGGCCCCATGCCTGCTCCACAGACAGCCAAGAGAGCTGTGTCCAAGCCCGAGGCAGGGCCACGTGCCCACCGTCACACACACTAACCACCTGGTGCACGCGGGAGACACTTCAGTGCTACCTTCCTTCACACCTTAGCGTTCTCCTGACAATTTTCATTCTTGGCATCTCAGTCTTAAGGGCCAAGAACCGAAGTCATGTATTGAAAACACACCTCAACGTGACATCTGGAAAGATGAACTGTGTCAAACCCCTACTGAGCCGGTGTGTAAAGTTCCCACCTGTGCATACACAGCTCAGCGCCTGCCTACTTCATAACACAGCTAGGACCTAGCTGCAAAAAAAAGAACGCTAGCACCAACAGGTAGCGCAGGGGCACCGCTCCTAAGGGCAGACCAACCTTACCTTCGGCCCTGATCCAGCCGTCCGTGCGGGCCCCTGGCGGGAAAGCGGTTCAGGTGGCTCAGGTGGAGCGTGTGGGATGTCTGGAAGAGACTCAGCGCTGCAGAAAGGAAACGCCAGTGACTGCAGAACCCTAAACACCCGCCAGCGTGCCCCCCCTTTCTTCCAGGGCCCCAAAGTGCCCACTTCTGTCCCTAGAGCAGCCCAAGTGCCCCGTGAGGCCCGCCCCAGCGTCCACGCCGCTGGCACTCACGCTTCTGAGGAAAGAGGGGAGGAATCCGATGAGGCTGGAAGATCAACTGGGGCTGAGCTCCCAGAATCCCTTGCTTCTGGCCCAGGGCTGCCACGTGCAGAAGGGGAGGTGCTGGGGACTTCAGCAGGGGCTGCGGGACAGGAGCCAGGCAACTCAGGACCCCACGGCTGCTGCACCCACTCGCTCGGAGAGATGCAGCCCATCCCTCGGCCCCCGCCTCCCTCCCCACCGCACACGCTCGGGGGAGACGCATGAGTACCTGGTTGGAGAGCGTCTGCACCTTGACGGCGTTCCAGGGCACCGCCTGGCCGGGGTTGTACGCCGCCTTCACCAGCACCTTCTCACCCAGCTGGGGCAGCCGGCCCTTCACCACGCTGCAGCACACAGGCCCCATGAGCAGCGCCGCCCGGGCCCTTGCAAGGCCCTTCCCATCGGCCCGTCGGGATGTCTCCCACCTTGCGTGGTGCCCCCTGCCAGCGGGCTGCCGGCACAGAGGCCAGCCTCAGCCTACCTCAGCTGGAAGAAGACCTCTTCGTCCACCACCCCGAAGTAGTCGTGCAAGCTGGTAACGATGCCGGTGAAGACCCGCTGCTTCTCCCCGCCCTGGAAGAGAGGGCTGTGAACAGGGAGCCCCCAGATCCACAGAGGCGTGGTCATGCAGAGAGCCTGCCCTGCACACGGGACAACAAGCTGGCCCTGGGCTCAGGAGCTGCTTCTGGGAGTTCCTGTTCTTTCCGAACTCCAAAAGGCACCCCAGTGCCAGAAACTCAGACTCGCCAGTCTAAGACGTGAACTGCACCAGGTCGGGGTTGGGAATGCTGGGGCAGCCCAACCTACCTGCAGGTGCCGGGCATTCTGGGACAAGTCTGTGGCCACAGGAGGAGTGAGCAGACCAGGAGGAGGGCCCAGAAGCGACGTGGAGGCCGCGCCTAAGGGGACAGAGGAACAATCTCCAGCAAGTCCACGCGCCACATGATGCCCGGGAGTTAGCTGGGGGATGCGGAGACCCCGGGAGGGCTCGCGGGCTCCGGCCAGCTCCTCCTCAGGGCTTCCCAGGCCATCCCCACGGGCGCCTCTTCTTTCCCTGGGAGATATTTGCAGCCAAGCGCAAAGGAAACTAACCGGAGCGCACCAGCAAACCCAGCAGCCATACTTCTGGAAAGGAGCCCCCCACCCCCGCCCCCCGCCGCCCGGAGGTCCCAGCCTGAGCCCAGGTAAGGGAGACAGGCATCACCTGAGAAGCTGCGGCCCCCCGGCAGCGGGCTGATCCGCTGGCGCTTAAACTGGGACATGGGGAAGGCGGTCCTCTCTCTGAGTCTCGGGGGGAAACCTGCAATGGGAAGAGAAGTGGGTGCACCGCTCGGACAGCCAACGTCCCAGGAAGCGGAGCATCGGGAGCCTGGGAATGAATGGAGGAGGCGGACGGCAGGGCGCGAGCAGCAGCAGGAAATGAAGTCAGCGGTGACAGCGCGCCCGCTGCCCGCACGGCCGGCGGCAGGTGCCCCTGCCCCGCCGGCTCGCGGAGACAGAACCCACCCTCCCAGACAACGCCAGGAGACCCGCCAAACCGGGGACGCACCGCACCCGGCGCTCCCCGCACGGGGCCACCCACCCCCGGAGCGGCCGGCGGCCGGGACGACAGCCATTCATTCAGAAACAGCCGCCGACACGCCGCTCCGCGCCGGGCCCGGGAAAATGGAGGCGGCGGCCGGCGTGGGCCCGCTCCCCGGAAGCCCGGCCCGCTGTCCCCGCGGCCTCGCGTGCCCGCCTCCGCCGCGTCTCCCGGGCCGACCAGCCCACCGCGGGAGGACGACGGCGCGAGCTTCCTCTTCCTCCTCCGCCCGCCCCCGGGGCCGAGGCCGTTGCCAGGGAAACGGGACGTGCACTGCGAGGGGGGCTCGGCCCCTTCCGCGCCCCCGGGGCAGCTCCGCCGCCCGGCCCTACGCGGCCCCTCGGCCGACGACGAGGCCCAACGGCAGAGGGGCGGCTGGTGGGGCGCCCCGACCCACCTGCGGGCCAGGGCCGCAACACCGGGGGGACAAAGGCACCCGGAACCGCCGCCGCTGCCGCCGCCGCCGCCGGAAGCGCCGCGCCGGAAGCGCGACCACTGGTCGGAAGCTGCCACTCTTCCGGATATGGTCCCTCCCCCGTCTGCGCCGACCTCTCCCTGCCCCCCACGCCGGCCTGCCATCCCGCGGCCGCGGCGGAGCGGAAGTGCGCCTTCGGGATCGGCTGCGCGTTGGGAAGCCGCCGCCTCGGCGGTGTCCCCGCCTAAGCGTTCCCCTTGGAAAAGGAAGCCTCGGAGCATCGGTTCCTGGTCCCGACGCGGCTGGGGCCAAAGCGCGAGGGGCTCGCACCCCCTTCCCCTCGCAGCCCCATGGCTGCAGCATGGAGAGGAGAAGCCTGAGAAGCAGCCGTTTCTAGTCGTCATTCCTAGGCCTGACTCAAGCCAACGACCCCCGCCCCTACCCTAGACCGTCCATTGACCGCGCCCATGGCGGGGTGGGGAGGGGGAGGAGGTTAGCAGGTCAGGACTAAGTCCCTAATGCTCAAATGCGACGCCTCAGAGACCTGGGTAAAATAACCTGCCCAAACCCTGGCCGGGAAACTGGCCATTTTAGTCCCCGTTAGCGGCCCCGATCCCCCTGGGCTCCCAGTTACTAGCCCCATCCAACTCCCTCCGGCACCCGCACCCTCGCTCTCCCCGTCATTTAACATCCACAAGGCACTTTGAGGCGGTTTAATCTCACTTGATCCTCATTACAAGACTGTGAGGTAGGTAGGGCTGGCATCACCCCGAGTGGGAGGCTGTGGCTCAGAGATCTGTCGCCGTGGGCCTCTGCTTTCAGCTCTGACGTGGTAAAGCCAGCAAGGAGCAGAGCAACCGAGAACTTCGACGTCCCGCGTGGTCCCAGACCCTCCCCGCTCAGGGTGCCCTGCTCCAGGGGCAAGACGCAACGCAGGGCGCAGACAAGCCAAAGCTGTCCCCTGGCCCCCGTGCAGGTGCAAGGACGCAAGTCGGTATCGGATCAGCTCACTGCCGTCTGGAGGTCAGTTCTTTCACAGCTCAGAAGGGCCAGAGGACCAGCGCTTGGGACGCATGATTCCAGCACAAGTGGTTGGGTCCAGCCAGTTGACACCACTGACGGCCCAGCAAAGACTGATAGATTATTGTGCATACACACAGCTGCAACGTGCTGGGCCCAGACGCATGCCACCGGCACCTGATAAATAAGTTCGTTCTCACGGTCTAAGCCGGGAGCTTCTGGCAAAGAGGGGGAGGCCTGGAGCCGCTGCGAGCTGTTGGCGGGAGAAAGACTCAGCCCTGAGCCCAGAGACAAGAACAGGCGGCGGCAGCCGATCCTTGGCAGTGCAGAGAAAGCAGCAGCGGGACCAAGGGCCAGGGAGGCTCCACCCGGGATCACCAGGTGCCCCAGGAGGGCTCAACATACAGAAAGGTTTTTGGCTCGTTGCTTCTTAGCCACTGAGGATGGCATATAGGTGTTCCGGTGGGGGTGGTACTGAGGCCCTTCAGGGAGGTCCCTAGACCCAGTCCTGTCAAAGAGAAGAGAAGAATCGAGGCTGGAAGAACCAAAGGAGTTGGGGTAGCATTGCTTAGCTTCGGTGCAAAATACAGACATCCCATTAGTTCCCCAGGGAGAACCGTTCAGTAGGACACACACACACTCCAGCATGGTCCACTCTGCCCACTGTGGAATCCTTTTTACCTCCCCCTTGCCCCGCCCACAGACCCAGGGAGGTGGCATAAATTTCAGCGGCAGGGGGGTGGGGGTTAAGATGAGGTGACTTCCCATATTCTGGTCCTGAGTACGTCACTGACTCACCCTGTGCGCTTTGGGAAAGCCACTGCCCTCAACCCCACACAGTCTCCAGTCTCCTCCCCCTCCCCCTGCCTCACCCAGGATGGGCACGGGACCCACCTTGACCCAGAACCACCAGGAAGGGCAAGGGGCTCCGGGTGTCGGGGGTTCCTCCAGCGGAGCCGGTTGAGCAAGACCTTGACCTTGTCCCAATGGGAGATGTCTCGCTGAGCAGAGGGCAAGGAGTCACCACAGAGCCCTCCCCCCCCACACACACCCCCAACAGAGCTCCCAGAGACAGCCACCAGCACAAGTCGTGGGCTGCAAACAGGAATCCCGTTGTTTGCTCGGGGTCTCTGGCCTCCGACCACCCCCAGCCCGGCCCACCCTACCACCTGCCCGCATGTAGCCACCAGCTACCTTATGTCCCTGAGAGGATGGGGAGTTAGCTGGCTCCACGGGGGCCTCCGGCAGCCTGGGAGGGTTGGCAGTGGGCACCCACACCTTTGGGGGTAAAGCGGCCTCCGCCCCTTCTGAGAGAGAATCAGGTAAGCCAGGGCCAGGAACAAGGAGCCACCCCTCGAGCTGTGGTTCGGGATCTTCTAGTGGGATGAGGAGCAGGACACAGAGGGTGACACAGCTGCGCCTCACCTGCCTGCCGTGTCTGGTGCAGCAGCTCCCACGGCCCCTGCACCCCGCTTCCCAGGCTGTCCGAGGAGAGAGGTGCAGGAGCCAGGGCCGACTCCTCCCCCTCGGGATCCTGTGTGCAGAAGAGGCAGGGTAATCAGGGCCGGGACGGAAGGGGCCGCTGCTGTCCCACCTCCGCCTCCCTTGCTCACTGAGTGCCCAGCTGGGACTCACTCACCCCGGGGAGCCTCTGGCTCCACAGCTGTAGGTAAAGCTGCTGGAGCCTGGCCAGCTGCTCCAGCACCAGGCACAGGTGTTCCAGGTAGCGAAGACCCTGCCCTGGGAGGCAGGCCCACGTTCCAGGCTCCAACTGCGCCACCTGTGGGAACACAGCCGGGTAGAGACCACTCGGCTCCCCAGCCGCCCACCTGCTCAGCCAGCCGGCAAGGGCGGAGTGGCGGGCAGAGGAGGAACACACAGCCAGCTGGGCGTGGCGCCAGGCAGGTCTCATACCTGCCCACCCCCTCTGCGGGGGTGCTACACACAGCTGGGAGTGGAGCGAGGCCAGAAGCCGTCAATTAGAGACAAGCACTGCCCCACCCCGAGAGAGCTCCAGGGAGAAGGGGAGGGGGTTAGGAGTCCCCACCTGCCCCCCTGCACCGGGACACTCACCACCTCTTCTTCTAGGCCTGCCTCTGGGTCGGTTTCTGCCCCAGTGCACTCCTGTTCTGTTGCTTCAAAAAGGTACACGCCACACTCAGGCTTGCCTGGTGGCTGCGGGGAGTCGCGCTGTCCTGCCAAGTCGGCAGGGGGAGGTGGGAGGCGGCGGGAGCGCTCCAACACCTGCTGCAGCTTCTGGCTGGCCAGCGTCCGGCCTCGCCGGGCGGGGGGCTCAGCGCTCCCGGCGGGCTCCAAGTCCAGAGAGTCCTGAGAAGAGGCAGGCAAGGTGGCCAGGGGGCTGTCCCCCACTGCCATCTCCACTCCCGAGTCCCGGGAGGCCAGTTTGAGAAGGGGCACCTGCCGCCGCAGGGCGCTCAGGTCGCCATCTCCCTTCCAGGAGCCCGAGGAGCGCGCGGGAGTAGCCTCTGCGATCCGGCGGTAGGTGCTGGCGACTCCCGGCGCTACGCAGCCACGTGCCAGGCCCTCCGCTGCCCCATCTGCAAATAGAATGAGCACCGCGCTAGGCGGGCGGTCCTCACTGCCCCCAGCATTCCCGGCGCCGGGAGGGGCGTCCTGTGCTGGGGGGAGGGCACCTGGCAGCCGGCCCCGCCCCCGGATCTGCGGCGCTTCTGAGGAGACATCCGAAGGGGTTGCCCTCACCGCAGGGATGTCAGCCGCAGGAGCCCCCTTGGCGATGTGGGGTGGCCACCCAGCTCCCTTGATGGCCACGCCTTCTGCGCCCCCCACCACCTCCAAAGTCGCCTGGAAACTCCAAGTCAAGGAGGGAGCAGGGCAAGTCTGGGATCCAATCTGCCCTCCGTGAGGATGCAAGAGAGGGTCTGTCCCTCCCGAGAGGCAGTGGTGAAAACAGCTACAGCCACCACTTCTTCGGTGGACCCAGAAACACTGGGGATTGGGGCAAGGACAAGCGAGGTGGAAGGAAGAGGAACCTGGCGCAGGCAGCAGGAACCCCAGGGACTGTCACCTGTGCACCAGGCCCCCCTCCGGGGGTGGTGCCCAGACCGGGCTGCCCACATCTCCCTGCCCGGCGCGCGGCACCAGGTGCCACCCGCGCCCCCTCCGGGCGCGGCGGCCTGTGGACTAGCAGGGAGGGGTCCGCCGCCGTGCGGGGCTTCGCGGAGCTGCCGGCCGCGGCGGGGTGGGGCGGGGTGGGGCGGGACGGCGGATCCAGACCTCCTCCCGCGCATGGGGAGGCTCCAGGTCGGGCGCGAGCGGGAAGCGGACTCGGGGGAAGCGGGGGTAGCGTTGGCGACCGGTTTCATGCCCAGACCCGGAGGGGCTCCGCCGTGCGAGGCGTTCCCAGCCCAATCACTCGGCCCCTCCGAACCGGGAACGCGGAGAGGCTGCCCCTGCCCGAGTGCGAGAGGGGCGACTCACCCCGGCCGCCAAGCGGCTCCACGCCGTACACGCGCCGCCGGCCCCGCATGGCCCGCTCCGGGGTCCCGGCGCTCGCCCAGGCGGTGCCCGCCGCGTCCCCGCCGAGCGCCGGGACCGGGAGCGGCCCCCGGACACTCCCAGCGGGGGAGGGGCACGCAGGTGCGCGCGCGCAGGCGGGCGGGGTGGTCCGGGCCGCGAGCCGGATAGCACCTCCCTGCCCCGTCTCCACCGCGTCCCACCAGTGCCGGCTGGGGCTACCGTAAGGGCCCGCCGCGCCGCCCCTCTCGCCGGGCGCTTCCTGCCGCGCGCGCAAGCCCGGGAGGAAATGGGAAGAGAGCGTTGCCAGGCTCCCAGCGGCGGCGGAGGGGAAGGAAGGGGATGCTGCCTGCCTGGGGGGGCCTTTCACTCCGTGCCTGGCCTTGCCTCTTCCAAAGTTGGGCGCGGGGGCTGGGGGAGAAGCGTGCAGCGCGGGGAGTAGCCTGGAGGCCGCAGGAGGGGGCCCGTGTCTCCCTAGGATGCTGCTGCCACTGCTTCCTGGTTTTAAATGGAGCCCAGGCAGGTAAACCACCAGGTGACCAGCCAGGGACTGGTGGCCTCTGAGCTCGCTCTCCCTGGACGAGGGTCAGGGCTGGGGAACCCTAACGGGGCCGAATGCCCTGGAGACAGCTAAGGGAGCAGGTGGACGTGCAAACTTGCACCTGGGCCTCTGGGGGGCGGGACTGGGGCCCCGGGGACCAGTGGCTGTTCACTCACTAGGAGGGAGAAGCCAATCTGCCTCACTCTGCACCCTCCTGGGGCCCTCCAACCGGACACACCCTCCCCGCCCCGCCCCCAGCGTTCAGCAGAGACCCACAAACCACCAGTTAGTTTCTGTGCCCTGTTGCTGGTGACATGGGGAGACTGTGGCCCAAAGCCACGCCCCAGGCAGGCAGGAGAGCCAAGAGCCTGAACCGCCTGCAAGCCCTGGTCCAACTCCACCCCCCCCTTCCCCACCGTCAGAGGGAAACCAAGAATGCCGGCTTGGCAGGAAGCGCTTTCCATCAGCCCAGGAGGCGGGCCGTGCAGCATCAAACCCCCAGCCATGCCGAACCCCAGCTCTGCCCTCCCTGGGTAGGAAGTGAGGCGGCCTGGGGGCCCCGGTGAGAGGGCGGGGAGGTGCAGGGAGGCAGCCCACGCGAATCCCGTCCCGAGTCTGCAGAACGTGGGTCTCTGCGGTGACTCCGGGACAAGAATGCATCTAGAAACAGGAAGCCAGGCCAGCAGGAATGCGGTGTCTCAGCACAAGCTTTGTGTGTGGCTCCCAAGGACTCCCCCACCCACGACCCGACACAGGCTCCCCTCCCAACACCAGCGCCAGCTCAGGGCCACCCTGACACGGGGGCTGCGCACTTCCCAGCTTCCCTGCCACTTGCATTCTGCTGCCCTGGACTGGCATCCTGTGCCAAGCCTCCGCCAAGTAGAGGGCTCCATGGCCCTGCGTGCCTGCAGCATCTACCAGCCTCTGAGCCACGCAGGAGGAATGGGAGGGGCGGCACAGCCACCCACCCCTCGCTGCACACCTGGCCAAGTGAGCAGCTGCCCCGAGTTCCTGACCAAGAAGGCAGTGGCCTGGGGCCAGCCATGCCTAGGAGCCCCTGCACTCCCCATGGGGAAGTCCCAGCTCCAGGAAGCAGGTTTCCTGCAAGCTTGGCGCTTAGCATGGCCCTGGGAGGAGGCAGGACAAAGCCAAGAGCAGCTGGAGAGGGCCGGGGGCCGGGCTGACCTCCCTTGGTGGCCGGCAGGAGCTGTGGCTTTTCCCTTGACCACCTGTGTCCTCCCCAAAGTCCACAGCCCCCTGGATGCCAGCTTCACAGGCAGCCTCACTCCCGACCTGTCCTTGTCCTGCATAGCATCAGCCCACCCCTTCCAATCTGTCAGATCCCCACTTACAGTTGTCAAGGTGAAGTTCAAACCCCTGGCAGTCTGTCATTGACCATGATGCCCAGCCCATCACCAAGTGTGCCGGTGGATCAGTGGGAACCTCCTCGCCATAGGCAGCACCTGGCACTAGGTGGCGCCAAAGAGGCTGCCCCATTTCTGCCCAAGACTCTAGCCAGACTCCCCAGCAGGCCGGCCGCCTTGATCTTCCCCATAAAAATAAAGGCTGGTCCTCAGGCAGCCATCCAGGCAAAAGTTGAGACGATGATATCAAGGTGTAAATTATATCACCAGGTGCCTGAGGAGGCAACACAGTGGGTGCCAAGATCCCCTCCAAAGGCAGCCAGATAAGCACCAAGCTGCCACCAGCACTGGCTTTGATCTTTCCTGTGAGAACAGGGCTGGGGCTGCTGCACCGGCCTCTGGATCCAGGACAGGTACCCCCAGGCCAGGCCCCAGGGGTTGGGGGGCTTTGGGGGCTCTGCTACTTCCATCCCAGGCAAGGCCACCCGCCATGGCCTATCCGCGATTGTCTCTGGTGAGCATCTTCCACGGGGAGTGTTGGGAAGGTGGCACTGGGCTGGGGGTCCCTGAGGGAGGGGCGGGGAAGGAGAGAGAAGCAAGGTGTCTCTTTTGTGCTTGTGTGCATGTTTACGGAGCGCATATGACCAGCGTTACACAGGGAAGAACAAAGAACTGCTAGCACTTCGCTCTCCTCCGAGATGCCTCCCAGCATTCCATCCCGCATTTGCCAAGATGTCAAAGGCAGCAGCCAACTCAGCCTGGGGAACAGGGCCTGCCCTGCAGGGGCGAAGATGCCAGGAAGGTGAGGCTGCCTCGGCACCTGCTGCCCGAGACAGGTCCCAGCCCTGGACTTCACCCAGTCAGGCCCACGCTTAGTTCCCGGGAGGAGCCGCCACCTGCCGTGGCCCCTTCTGTGGGCTCAGGCCCGGGAGCCGAGGGCCGGGGCTGTGGAGTAGCGCTGGCGGGCGTGCTTCTCACAGAACAGCTCGTCGCCCACCCAGAAGTGCCCTCGCATCTTCAAGTTCAAGCCGCAGTCCGTGCAGGTGTAGCAGCCGGCATGGCGGTACCTCCCCTCCTGGATGCGCACGGCCTGGTTCCTGCAGGAGAGGGAATGGTTCCTGCTGGGAGGCCACCACCGCCCTGGAGCCTGGGACGACCCTACAGCCTCAGAGACATGACTCCACCTGCACTCAGTAATCTCCTTCCACCCCCCACCACGCCTGCGCACAGCCGCACATCAGTCCCCGCACGGACTGACAAACCCGGCCAGATCTTCTCGGTTTGCAAGGGAGAAGTGGTACCTAAAGTGTGACCCCAGCTCCTGGGACTGGCAGCGCCAGCATTAGAAGTGCCAGTCTCACCAGGGTACGCGTCACAGTGCAGAAACTTAGCCTGCTGCTCGGAACACCACACGTCACACATAGGAGTTCCAGCTGATCTGCTGTGAGTCAGCTTCCTGTTAGTGCACCCAGGCTCAGCACTCGAGTTCCTGCCACCCATGGACGAGACCCCTGGAGGGAGCTCCTGGCTCCTGGGTTTGGCCTGGCCCAGCCACTAGTAGTTGCAGGCATTTGGGAAGGAGCCAGCAGATGAAGATTTCTCTCTCTCTCTCTCTCTCTCTCTCTCTAACACAGCAGCATCTCGGATTCCTCTGGGGACAAGGAAGAAAGAAGCCAGCCCAGGCAGCCCCAGGACGCTGCAAATAACCCCTCGCAAGGCCACAAAGGAGCTTCCCTCTGGGCTCCCTGGCTGTGCTGCCCGCCTGCTGCTGCTGGCCCCTGGTGGGCCCGGCCCTGCCCCCCACTCACGCGATGCTGGTGCCGCACTTCTCACACGTGTGGAGCTTGGGTGGGGTGGCCAGGGCCCTGGCGGTGGGCAGGGAGGACTGGGGGCTCAGCGAGCTGGGCAGGAAGGCAGGTGTGCCGCCTAGAGGGACAGACAGACAGACACATGGGAGCTCATCCACCGGCCGCAGCAGCGCCGGTAGCATGGGCTGACGCCGGCTGTGGAGCAGGGATGGAGCAAGGCAGGCAAAGACAGGCTGAGGCCACGTCTGCCCGTCTAACGGCGCTGGGGAGCAGCTGAGCCCAGGGTCTGGCAAGCGGAGCTGACGGTCCCGCTCCCGAGACCTGGGAGTGACGCTAGGAGCAGATAACACTGCCAGCCCCGCTGCACGGCTGGGAAAGGGCTTTTCCATGCACCGCCACCCCCAAGGCCTCGGCCAAGGACACCGACATTCCCGTGGCAGTCGCCACCCGCCTGCACTGGCCTGTCCCACCACCGTTCTGCCTGTGCACATGGCCACGCCCAGAGCCTGCGGCTGCTCCCTGCCACCATCTTAAGGCTGCTTGTGGAAGTCTTGATCTTTTCTCCCAGGGCCACATCAGACCCCTCCTCCTCCAAGAAGGCCTCCTTGGAGACCCCCACCCCCACCCTGGCCCACCACCGGCCATCACCATTCCCTTGGTGCCTTCCCGGGGCCCAGGAGGCTCTGCTTCCTACCTCTGGGTGCACACCGGGCCAGCCCTCCCACACCGGATGCACCCACAGGCGGGGTTCTGGCCCCCACCCAGTCCCACTGGTGAACACCTACAGGACGCCTGACGCCCATGCCGGAGCCGCCGCCGGGGCCTCACCTCTCTCCTCAGCCTCCAGGGCTTCCTGCAGGAGCCGGAAGGAGCTGGACTGCCGGGGCGCCAGGCGCGACTCCCGGTTCTCTTGCAGCATCTTGAAGACTTCGGAGTCCTCCTCCAGGAGGTCTACACTGCAGGACGCAGGGCGGCCCCGCCGTCAGCCCGAGCCCAGGGGCAGAGGGCTGTGTCCCAGGAGCCCGAGGAAAGCTGAGGGGCTCAGAGGGGAGGGGACCCCACCCAACCCTCCAGGGCCCGCCAGTACCTGAGCCTGGGGCTGGAGGAACGGGGCCGGGGCGAAGCAGGCAGCACCAGCACCGCCGAGTCGCCAGCGCGGCCCTGGCCGGCCTGAGGGGAGGAGCGAGCGGGGAGGAGTCAGCGGCCGCAGCCTTTGGCCCACCACGCAGCCCTGTGGGTCTCAAGCCCAGCTGTTCCCAGGCCCAACAGCAGAGGGCTCCCGGCCCTTGGTGACCAGCAGGCTCCAGGGCTGGCGCACAAGGGCTGCTGGGGTCCTGGGTGGGGCAGTCAGCACCCAGCAAAGCCGGCATGGGCAGGGAGAGGGAAGGGGGCCGCAAGGGGACTGGACGTGGGGCAAGATGCAGCTGGCAGACAAAGAGTCCCCACCATCCTCCCCCTGTCCTGCCCAGTCTGCGACACCTTGCTGGGTATTCCCAAAGACGCAGCCCCCCGGAGCCTGGTCCCTCCCCCACGGACCCATCCCCTAGGCAGGGAGCAATGGGAACATAAAGGGGTGGGGGGCGGGACCCCCAGGATGGGCCAGGGAGCACTGGCGAGCCAGCCAATGGAAGAGGACGCTCGGGGACAGCTGGGAGGGCCTTGTGTACAGGTTCCCGGGAAGCCACTGTTCTCACTCCGGATCTGTCCACCAGGACCAGGCTGACCCCGGGTGGGCCACTGTACTTTCTAGAAGGGTACCACCACGAGGGCTGGTGCTAGCAGACACCACACCACCTGCCCCTGCCGTCACTGACACAGAGGGGACCCCTCATGTCTGAGCCCAGGCAAGCTGCCCCCTCCTCGCCTGCCCAGCAAGTGTGTGGGTGGAGCCAACACTTCTCACAGCGCGTTGAGGGTGTCGGTGAGTGGGGGAGGGGCGGGGACAGGTGGAAGAAGGCCAGGGGACATTCTGCGGTTAGACAAGCTTGGGAAATGCAGAGTGTGGAGTGTGTTTCTTTCACAGTGACCCCCGAGAGGGAGGGAGCTAGGGGGCCTGTGGCTCCTTGTGGGAGCCTCACGGCAGACCCGAGTGGAAGCTCCACGGAGTGAGGAATTCCTGTTCCCACCACCGCATCCCCAGGGGCTAGGAAGGCGCCTGACATCGAGCAGCTGCTCCGGAACAGGAGGGAGCTCAGAGCGTCGTCTGCCCCTGGCCAGCTCCTGCTCCTCCCTCTGCAGGGTTCAACACAGACGGCCACGCTTCCGGCCCCGGCCATGAAGATGCCCCTTGGGACGCCTGCATCCCTTAGCAGACTGCCTGGACCCATTTCCAATTCCAGCTCCCTGCTCATGCACACCCTGGAAGACAGCAGGGGATGGCCCAAGCGTTCGGATCCCTTCCACCTCTACGGGAGACCCGGGCTGAGCTCCTGGCTCCCGGCTTCCTCGTGGCCCAGGCCTGGCTGTCATAGGCGTTTAGGGAGCAAACGGGCAGATGGAAGATTTCTCTGTGCTTCTGTCTGTCACACTTTGCCTTTCAGATATGGTTTCAAGCGTATTCACAAATTAACACACACACAAGGCACACACATGCATACACACGCGCACACACGCACACAGGTTGCTGCCTCCATCCGAGTCCAGTTCCAGATGTCCAGGTTGGGGCCTCAAAATTTACGTTCCTGAAAAGTCTTAGGTGCTTCTGCTCCTGGCTTGGGGGCAAAGCCCCCTTTGTTGGGCCTGGGGCATCATGGGAAGGAACCCAGGAAGGCCAGGCCCCCAGCAGCCACAAGGACCTAACCCTAACCCTAACCCTTAGCTTAGAGGAGCCAGGCTGGTTGGGGCCCCAGGCCAAGCTCATTCCCAGTGTGTCCTAGGCCCAAAGCTTCCCCTCAGAAAAAATCCCCACTCCCACCCCAAACTCGTGGCGCGGTCTCTCCACCCCCCAGCGTATCCAGCGGCTGCTCCTCCTGTCCCATCCTCATGCCACCGGGCCCTGATGCAGCCTTCTGGGTGGAGGCGGGCAGCCCACACGCCCCCCCCCCCCCCAGCCTCCTGCTTCTGTAATTAATACCACGGCGGTGAGTGCTTAATTGTTCCAAAATTGTTCCGCACGTCTGTCTTATCTCCACAGTTGCATGTAAGGCAGTTTAAAGACCGGCAACCCACGGGATCCCCTCTCTCCACGCACAGCCGGGCCAGCTGGCCATGAGGGAGGCACTCCAGAGCCTCCCCCGGCCACCCCCACCCCAGGCTCTGCCGTCTGGAATGCGCCATCTCCCGAGGTAGGATTCCAGCAGCTGGGCTCCATCTCCTCCACCCCCAAGGCTGGACCTGCCCCCAGCAGCTGTGGCCCAGGGCTGTGGGCCACCTCACCCCCTCACCTCCCTACCCCTGCCCTTGAGTAGAGAAATACCACAGGGGTGGGGTGGCCGTCACCAGTGGGAGCGGGCGAGCCTCTCCGGGGCTGGGGGCTGTGGGCAGACAGAGGCAAAGCCAAGGGCAGCCTGAGGCAGGACCACAGTCCCACAGGGGGTTCTTCGGGCCGAGTCAGAGAGGAAGAGGGGGGCCGAGGGCCGGGAGTCAGGGGCAGATAGCAGCACTGGAATGGAGAGGAATGCGATGCAGAGCTGCAGCCCGGGCCCAGAGG